AAGTCCTCAGTTAAGGCCCTGAATGATCTCAGGCCTGTGGCTCTCACCTCACTAGCAATGAGGGCCATGTAGAGGGTCATTAAGAATCATATCATCAAGGTGACAGACCTACTCATGGACCCTCTCCAGTTCGTGTACCGGGCAGGCAGGGGGGTTGACGATGCAAAAATGTTCATCATGGACAAAGTACACAAGCATCTGGAACTCCCCAACACCTCAGCTAGACTCAGTTTGCAGATTCCTCATCTGCATTCAACACTATGCAACCACACATCCTGGCAGAGAAACTGTCCACCCGCTTCCACCTGGAAGACCAGCTCACTCTGTGGATCATCAACTTTCTGACCAACAGGACACAGAGAGTGCTGGTCAACAACACCTTCTCTGACCTCTCCATCACCTCCACTGGCTCCCCCCAAGGCTGCGTCCTGTCACCTCTTCTGTTCATCCTGTACACCGATGACTGCAGGTCCTCCCACTCAGACTGTCATCCAGTGAAGATCGCGGATAACACAGTCTTCCTATCTCTGCTCTCTGGCTCCTCACATCACCACAGCTCAGTACTCAATGAGTTTGTGCAGTGGTGTGACAACGCCTCCCTGGAGCTAAACGTGGAGAAGACCAAGGACATGGTGGTGACCTTCTCTAATAAACAGAGGGAGCTGGCGACAGGATCTGCCAGCATGATCCACGGGCAGACAGTGGAGGTGGTGGAGGAGTACAAATATCTGGGCACTATCTTCGACTGCACCCTGAAGTTTGTCCCCAACATTGAAGATATTCTAAAGAGATATCAGCAGCTGCAATATCTCCTAAGGAAGCTCAACAGCTTTGGGGTCAACAAGGTCATAATCGGAACCTTTTACTACTCCTTCATTGAGAGTGTCTTCTGTTTCTCCATCGCCTGCTGGTATCACTCCACCAGCCTGCAGCATAGGACCCGCCTGTACAACATAGGGAAAGTCTGCTCTAAGATCATCGGATTCCCAGTCAGAGCACTTTCATCCCTGAGTGAGCAGCAAACTCTGAGAACAGCGTGCAGGATTCTGCAGGACCCTCCCATGCTCTGTTCCCAGAGTTTGAGTGGCTCCCCTCAGGACGACGGCTCCGCTGTCCCGGCTGCAGGACACAGAGGAGGAGAGCGACCTCTGTTCCCAGAGCCATTCAACTCCTCAACTCACACACTCCTCCTCCCCCCCGCCTCCCTGCACTGGAACCCGTCATTCATTCTGCACTTGATACCCCCGCCCCCCAATGCCCATTAACAATCCCTCCCTTTTACATATTTATTCAGTTCCCATCTACCTGATTGACTGCAATTTTGCACAGAACCTTCTAAACACTGTAATCACTGTTGCACTTTACGTCACTGTGTCCTTGTTCAACTGCCATGTGTGTCTTAATTGCCCCTCGGGGACAAATAAAGTTTTTTTGAATTGAATTTATTTGAGTTGAATGATGTAGGTCTACCCCTGTCTTGTGCCCCCTGCTCTTTAGCCCCCCCCCCCACCCCCCACAACTCTGACCAGTATAAATGGTTGGAAAATGGATGAATAGATGGTTTTAATGCATTTTCCTGTCTTGTTTTTGCTTTGAATGTGACTTTCCACTGCAGTGTTGCACATTGCTTATTCAGTCTGGTCTCTTAGCTATACTTACTGTTCTATACACCATCCGTTGTTCCGAGACATTCACGCACCCATACGATTTTTCCTTGCAGTCACAGGAATTGGGGACTGTCTTCGTTCCCCAATCGTGGTACCCTTTGAACAACCCGCAGCATTTGCCCTGTGCCAGAGAGATCACTGAGCAAACAGGTCCCATGTGTGGGTCCTCCTCTTCATAAAATGCACAAAATCCACCTCACTTTAATTTACATATTTACCCGCTATAAGTAACTCTTGAAAATGCTGGAACTAGGTGAGTGCAACTATGATGATCATTTTTCTTAACCTTAATTTATTTCCTTGTTTGGTTATGTGTGGTCATCTGAATATTCCTGCAATATTCCTGTGTGAGTTTGACACCACCCCTGAAATAGCCCCTCCTTGATAGACCTTCTCTTGCACAGCCTGGAGATCAGTTTGAACTGAGTCGGTCATATTCTCCAGAGGTTTAAGCTTCTCCAGCTTCTCCTTGATCCAGTTCATGCCCTGGAAGATGGGGGATGGCAAAAGCAGCAGATGTTAACAGATACGTAGTAGGAGAGAAATGGCTGGAGTAGATACCAGGAGCCAGGAGGCCCCTCTTACCTTGTCCTTCTCAGTGACTCCCAGGATGCCCGCAGTCAACAAGAGAGAGAAGATGGCGAGCAGCCCGATGAAGAACTGCGGCAAACAGAATGAAGGACGAGTGTTTGAAGTTTACTCCCAAACACTGAAGTCATGCGATCCACAAGTACTGAGGCGTCAGAATGAAAGAACCACTCAAGTAGGTCGACACATGAAAACGTAGTCTGCTAAGTGTCCACAAATTAAAATAAAAAACACAAAAAGTTACCCATACTTCAGAACTATTAAGAAGTCTGAGCACAGCCACATAGGTAATGTGCTGGTGGTATTGGGTGGCTTTGGAAAGTACTTACTAGCAACAGCATGCATCTGCTCTCACGAATTGCACCACAGCAACCGAGGAAGCCAAAGATCATGATGATCACACCCACAGCAATTAGCAAGAGCGTTCCGAGGAAAGAGACACTGGTTATCTAAAAAGCAGAAATGAAAAACGATTAAATGTCACAGATCTCGGACATGCTGTGTCGGAAATTCATATGCTACACTATAACAGACAACCAGAAAGTTAAAGGTAATGTCCCTTTTTTAACAATGTATAATGCTCCTCAAGCATTTTTTCCCAGTTTATCTCTTACTTGGTTCTGAAATCATATTTATACATAGCCATTGCAACAGCAAAAAACTGAGTGCAAACGGATTGCGATTTGGCAATTAGGTGACAGGAAAAGCATCTGGTTAATTGCTTGACGTACCTCGTTTCCATCTTTAATCACTTTGAGGTATACGGAGACACCAAGAATGACACAACCACTGACCTAGAAGAAGCAGGGAGATGCCTTAAAACCGCCTGAATACCAAAGTCGCACTTAGTTTAGCCACAATGTTCCATTGCACGAGTCCACTGATGTTTGTTTAGAATATGTAAGAAATACACTTATATAATATATCATTTATATATAACAATATTATTTTTATATCCAAAATGACTCCAAGAATAAACATACACCTGTTCATCTTCCAGCTACCTCTCACTTTTTCACTTTGCTTTATAAAGCTTTCTTTAAGTTTTGCTACTACAGTATATATAGTTTATTTCATTTATATATGGTAATTTTTATATACTGTATTGTTCACCTCCTTTATACACTGTCGCCTTATTGACATTGTAACTGTATCAGTTCGGGAACTTGTGTGTGACACAATAACAATAAAACTTTCTAATCTTGAATATTTGAATCCAGTACCAACTCATGGATAGGCCTATGCCTGACGGCACAGGGCACAAGGCAGGGGTTTGCCCTAAACGAGATGCCAGTGTACCAGTGTACTGCACACACACAAGTGGGTGATATTCATGCCTCCAGATATGGGGAAGTGAGATGTCGGTGCTACCAGAAGAGCCACTGTAGCACCATGTAAAACATGGTAAGTGCACACATAAAGAAAATGTGGCTACGCTTTACATCAACTGCACCTTCAAAGAGCATTCATTATGCATTTATAGAACATTCATTATGCATTTATAGAACATTCATAATGCATTTATAGAACATTCATAAGGCATTTATAGAACACTTAACATCCTAAAATACATGAACAGCTTAAATATACAGAAATAACAAACATTTTCAGATTAATTGATTATAATGTTTGTTATTATCATATAATGCTTGTTTTAAGTGTATATTAAGGCTGTTAAGGTATGTTAGGATATTAAGGTATACTTACATGCTTCTTTTGAATGTGCTATAAATGCATTATGTAGGAGCACTGAATGTTCAATGAATGCATTATAAAGGCATCATGAAGGTGCAGTTAATGTAAAATGGAACCGAAAATTCTCTTTTGACAGGGACTGAGAAAAGAAGCCAGTGGAGGAAATGATAGGAAAGCACTGGGGTGCTGGTCTCTCTCCATGCTGGTCTCTCTCCAGGCTGGTATCTCTCCAGGCTGCTAGGGGCCAAAAACAATCCCACAAACAAATAAACAAGACAGGCCAGCTATTTATGCAAATAATGAGGAATGGGGGGCAGGTGGAATCAATTCTCATGGCAGCCTTGATCAGGTGACTCTCTCGCCCAAGACCCTTCCCACAGAACACTATCAAAGATGGAGGAAAGAGCAGAAAAATAAAGTGAAATTCAATGATTTGGATATGATTTCGTTACATTTGTAACCCGAAACACCATCACCAGTTTCTGTAAATTCTTTAATTAGGGTTTCTTCCCTAAAACAGTGTTTCCCAATCCGGTCCTCGGGACCCACAGCCAGTCCATGTTTTTGCTCCCTCTGAGCTCAGCTGCAAGATAGCCGGAGCCGGGAGGGAGCAAAAACATGCACTGTCTGTGGGTCCCAGACAACTAGTTTGGGAAACACTGCCATAAAGTATTACTTACAAACTTACAAAGTGTATGGAAAAATGTAATATATTACAAGCAGCTCCAAAGAGGAATCTGCTGGCAAGACATTTGTGGCTCATAATTCTTTATCAAGTTATCCCATGCTGTTCCTTAATTAGCCAAATCATGTTGTGTCATTATCCCACCCTGTTCTGTTTCAGCTGATAGGTCCAGAGGGCCACCAGATAGCTCTGACTTGACTTCTTCACAGACAAAATCCAAATTCCAGCAACGACAGAAACTACAAACCCCAACCTGAGAGAATCGTATGGAAGCCATACTGCCGCCCTGCTCTGTGTCCCTACCTGCCGCATCCCCCCTGGCAACGGATATCGCCGTGCCTCAGAAAATGATTCAATTACCATCGATCTCCCCACTGATTCACTTAATGTGATTTTCAGATGGCTTCGGCCATTTCCCAGACATGGGAGTGGTCAGATTTACGTGCTAGCTTGTTTATGACATCTTATAAGATTAAATAACATGCTATGTGCTATAACGTTAAATAACATGCTATGTGCTATAACATGAAAAAGCATTTTACTGTTAAATGTGTCATAATTCTCAGCCAGAAAATGTTGGACAACATGGGTCATTTATACCAGAGTCAGTTAAAAACAGAATCCTGAATTTCAGATAATACTCAGTCATATAGTGAAATGCATATAGCAATAATAATAATCTGATAAATCAATGCATTCAAAATACCTATCTTTTGTTCAAGAGTTGATAAAAAAAGTTACATCCTTTTATTATAACATTACCAAAAGTATTAATAAAAAATTACCTTTCCTTTCAAAATTTTTTTTAAATAGTAGGAAACACTTTAACTTACCCAGAAGAGCAAATTAAAGAAGAATAGGGAATACTTGATGCATCTGTTTACAGCCATGACCAGAGGTAGGGAGATCTGTCCGTGATGTAATCTCTCAGCCTGCAGCAGTACGGCCAGCCTCTTCATCCATGAACAAATGATCTTCAGTTTCTGTTGCTTCCTCTGCTTCCTGGACCAGTGGGTAAGGACCTAGGAGCTTCCAGCAAAGCCCCCGGCACACGGTGGGGGGAGGGGGGGGACGGACGGACTGTGGGCTGATCACAGACACAGAGGAGTCACGTGAGGAACCAAAGTGATGCTGAGTTTAGATCGTCTCAATTTGTACAAGAGACGAGGTACTTTAATGGCATCAGATGCCAAAAATAGTTATTTGTGATCAACAGGTGGCTGCAATTCAGTTCTGAGTTTCTTTGCTTTTCTATTTACTGTGTGGAAGAAAATTAATACATTTTCCAAGTTCTTTTTCTTCTCCATTATTTGAGTGATTTTCACATGTTTCCCGCTGAAGTCTATGTAAAAGGGTGAGGCTTATGAATTGATACTAGGAGTTATGAAGTGGCAACATAACATGTTTTTTGGTCAGGAAATAATTGGGAAATAATGAGCTGGCAGCATCTTTTCTGTGAGCTTATTTATTACAATAAAGTTTGAAGAGCATCACACAATGCAGGAGTAAATCAAAGCCATTCTCCAACGCCTTCTAGGGGCATGTCACTCACTTCACAACATACTCTAAGAATCGCACCATAGGTGTAACTTTTACACCCAATCAGGTATGAGCTTTGAAGAAAAAACACCCTAGCGACCACAAAAAGAGCTCATATCTGATTGGGTGTAAAATTTATGCCTATGATGTGGTTCTCAGAATATGTTGTCAACTGAGTATAATAGAAAGAGAAAAATGACTCGTTCATTATAGCTGTCCTTGAAACCCACAAGAGTCTGAGTGAGCTTTACACAGCAAAGGGGGGTTGGGGTGATTTTATGGGTCATTCTCAGTTCAGAGTGATTTAAAACTATGATAGTTTCCATCACTGAGCTAAGCTACTTCACATAGTCAGCATAACAACCCAAAGGTTTGTATTACACCTGCAGATTTCCAGAGCTTCAGAATCCTATTCTGCTCCTCTGGTTGTAAAGAGATGCATCCAAAATATCTCATCATAACAGCCCTGTCCATAATATGCTGAGAAGTAATACATTCAAATACAAAGCAACTGAAAACGTCGTTATTAGATTCTCCTCGATAATCACTTCTCACTGCTTCCTTCATAGGGAAACTACCGCACGTCTCCATAGATGATTTTTCCTTTTAGGCTGCTTGACAGTTTCATCAATTAATGATCACAGTGTAAAAGCTTCATACCGCAGTTTACTTTAGCATCGATACTTGAGATTTCTAACCTGTCAAACCTACATTTGCACAGATAATCGACTGAGATTGTCATGGCAAATTTAAGAGTATATAAATACATTACAAGGCAAGGTAGCACTGACACATTGCAAAATCAACTCAATCTTTGCAGTAAATCAAAGGTTAAGCATGATACTTGTTGCTGCTCTTTACCTACGGTCTTAATTGATAATTGCCACTAAAATGTAAACGGATGTTCATCAGCATTGTGTTTCGATCTGTGAGCATTTTGGAAAGCACTAAGATCCACTTACGCTGTAATGATGAAAATGGCAGTTTGGATTTGACCCAAAACGAAATTATCATTAACAACAGCTTCACTCTAAACATTAAGAGACACATTTGGGGCTATCTATGTGGTCTTCCAAGGATGGAGCTGGCTAGAGAAGGTGGGAAATGGTTTTCCAGGAGAAAAGAAAAAAAATCAGGACAGAATGAATACAGTAAAAATGGAGCATAACATCATCAAGCAGGAACTGCCCTTGAAGAAATTCAAACCAAATAAAAAGTGTTCAGTCACAATTCCCTTGATGAACTCCTAAAGCTGCTACTTGTAGAATAGCTGTGTCACCACTGGGCCCCCATAAAACGTTCCAAGGGCCCTGGAAAAATGACAGGCAGCTGCATATAATGAGGCTGTAAACCCACCCAGCACTGGCCTGCACTCTAACAAGATTTGTTCTCACCTGTATATGTGTGTATGTCTTTAAAAAGGAGGGCATTATGGAATGTGTGGAATCTAAAGCGTTCCAATGTGCCTGAACAGATGACAAATAAAGCATCATTTCAGTCAGAGTCTAGGCCCCATAATGTAGTTGACTATAAAGAACAAAAGTCCCCTTTCAAGTCCATAATCTGACCGAAGCACTCGAAAACAAGCCATTATTAAACTGCCCTCAACATACGTTTTGAAAGACATGAGATTAAGAGTCAGGAGAAACATCCTACTGCAGACAAAAATCTGCAGGAGGTCAGAACGTTTGAGGAACGCAGGTAATCTGGCATGCCTGAATGACAATCACTAAATGCTTCTGTGAAGTTTCTTCAGACTACTGCAATCTTTTCTGATTTCTTACATTCCAATGTATTCTTCAGTTCCATGCATAAAATTAATCCCCTTCTCATTTGTTTCTTGGATTTAGCTTTTATTTTTAATTTTGTCATTGAAAAAGTTTTGTTTGGAGACCAGTTATGCATTTACTGGTTTTATAAAAACAAACACAGGGAACACAGCAATCATACAAAAATTATGGCAATAAGAATGAAAAATATGCCTGATTTTGCCACTTAGTTGAAACAGTTTATTCCAAATTCAAGTGAAAACAAGGAAAGACCATAAGAAGACTAATGATACTCAAAACAAGACAATTTAGGTCGCTTAAATGTACTGTGCAACAAAAACAGCAGGTGCTGCATTCAAAATATCATAATTAACCAAGGCAAACCCAAAAAGAGATTTTAATCTAAAAACAGTTTAGGAAAAAACCTGGAAATCTCTTCTAAAATTAAAAGACCCAAGAGACTTACAGTGCAGTAAAATTCATGGCAATACCGTACATGAAGGGAGTCTGCCTGCAATTCAACATACATGCAGTATCTCATTTAGATACACAAAAGCAATACAAGAGAAGCCAAGCACCTCCTGTTTCAATATCAACACAGTCCAAGGAAGGGGGGGGATTTTCTTTTAATATCATTACTATCCTTTTAGCTAAAATGGATCAGTTGGAGTTAAGAGGTTGAAATTCTATGACCTGATAAAAGGAACATTTCCTTCATACCGATAACAATCTGTTAATCCTAGTCCATTATAACTCATTACAGAACTTATTTGAAGAGCACCGACAGCAAGAGAAAAACAGGCTAAAACAAACAAATTTTGGAGAAGATCAATATGTTCTGAATGACAGACTGTTTAATCATTACCAGCTATTCCTTACTGTTCTAATATGAAGTGGGCAAACATAATTGCAAAACAAAAACAAAATGATGCAAGTGTATAGTATCAGTTCTTTGAAACTCAGATGGTTGTTACACGTTGGTAAACGTTGCTTGATCTTAATACATTTTGTAATAATGTTTTCAAGTCTATTTGGACTTTAAAATACACATATCAACTTTAATAAATAAAGAGTAAATAAATACAAACAAAAACCCTTCAGGATGCCATTTTTGCCTGTTGCACGCATTAGCAGTTAGCAGACAGTGTCTAATGATTGTCGAGGGTCATAACGTACACTGAAGGCCTTCTGATTAAATGTTTTACATGGTTCAGTAATTCTATGTGCCGACACTCCAAGTGCATTTAGTATTAATTTTCCTTAACATGACCTTTACCTCGTTGCTTATTCATCTGGTGGTATTCATATCCCATCCTCTAGGTGGCAGCAGGCTATAGTTTGTCAGGATTTGATCACTAGGCTAAATGTAAGTGAATTAGGATACAGTTCATTTAAACTGGGCTACCTTAAAACCAACCAGTTATCTAGCTAATTAACAACTCTCGCTTCATGATACAGGTCCCAGGTTAATTTTATTTTTTCTTGGAATTAAATCAATAAACAATTAACAGTTTAAGATGGTACCAGGCTTCCACTGAAAACCCCTTTGACTGATACACCTAGAAATGTTTACCTACCAGATGGCTCAAAGCAGGTCGAAATTAAGAGGCGTTTGATTCCTTTATTTGTATGACTGGTTCAATCTGCAACAGCTACTAACAGTGCTCTTTTCTCTCCGAGAAAGAATTACATAGAATTCCTGGACCACAAACCAACAATAAATACTGGCAAACAAGTACCCAGAGGACAATATTACTGCTCAAAGATTTCTTTTCTACAACTTGGGGTGACTAAATTGTGATTCTTATTTCAGCCTCATTTTAGTTTCTGTTTTTGTCTGATATGTTTTTCCTAAAATTGGTGAAGAGAAATATAGCAGATGTGAGTAAACTAGAGCACAGGTGTCATTTTTTAGAGGGACAAGAGATATCTTGCCAAACTTGACTATATAATTAATGAGTAATACTGCAGCAAGAAGATCCACACACATAGAACAGGAGTAGAGACTCAAACCCTGGTCTCCAGAGTTGTGCTAACTACAGAACCACCTTGTTGACCTCACATCTCCATCCATGATACAGCATGATACATGGGGTGCAAACACTTCAGCAACTATGGGTAAATATGGCCTTCAGTTTGAGGATAAAGAGAAAATTGACATACAGAAAAGAACAAACCTTACTACTGTTGAATGTAGTTGCAGCAGTACTTATAATAGTTGTAGTAGTACTTATAATAGTTGTAGTACTTGAAGCTGCTGAATCAGTAAGTGAAATATTTAAAGCTGTACAGCACAAGCATTTATTTTTGCTGCACACACCAGCATGAACCTAGCAGAAATGAACAAATGTTGTTATTTTCTGATCATATGGATGTCAACGACACACAGGTTATTGAAACTGGCTGAGATGGGAATAGTCTGAGTTTATATAGAGAGCTCTCTAATTTTTCCACTGTAGACCAAAATGCGACATAAAAGATCAAACAATCTGGGATCGATTTTAGACCTGAGTGAGATCTCCTTTTGAAAGTTAAAGGGAGGCTCATATGAGATATTGTGTGTCTTTTTGCTGGAGAAAAAATGTGTGAGAAAAAAATAAGCCATAGTGTCATTTTGACTTCACGCAGGAGAAGTAAATTAAACAGTTTTGAGATCTGGAGTTTCTGATTTCTTTTCTTCTGGATGGGTTTATCTTCTCTGATGACTGAACTCGCGCTCTGAATGGATAAACACTTGATAAT